GGAATGCAGTGACTTCAGTTAAATCAGCAAGGCAGGTGATTGATGCTTTAAATGCAGAGGGACCTGATATCGATATCATACTGGCAGAAATTGATCTCCCGATGGCCAAGGGTATGAAGATGCTGAGGTACATCACACGAGACAAAGATCTTCGGAGAATTCCTGTCATAAGTAAGCTGTGTTCTTTGCTCTTCCTTTTTATTTTATTATCCAGTCATGGAGTTCGAAGAATTGTACTTTCTAGGCTTATCAATATTTTTTTCTTACTGCATGATCATTTGCTAACTAATTTATAATATTTTCAATTTAAGTGATGTCGAGGCAAGATGAGGTTCCTGTTGTGGTAAAGTGCTTGAAGCTAGGTGCAGCTGACTACCTAGTGAAGCCTCTTCGGACCAACGAGCTTCTGAACTTGTGGACACACATGTGGAGAAGAAGACGCATGGTTTGTTTTGCTTCTCTGAACTTCTCCATATGTGGCTTACTGTTTTAGAGCATTTCTTGATAGCCATATCTGTTCTATTTCTTTCGAGTCTCCTTTTAAGTTTGTCTGCTTCATGTGTTTTGCTCTTTAATTCTTGTTCGTCTCTGTTAATATATTTCAAGTTAAATGATATTTAGTTTATTGTAAGTCTAGGTAACTATTTATTGTCACTCATTTTCCTTTGAGAGAGATTCCCTGTGAATTGACATGGTCATCTATATACTGACTTTCTGCCATCGATTTTACATTCTGTTGTCTTCTGGAATGAAAAGAACTTGATGCATGAAGTTAATGCGATTGAGCGTGTGTCTGTTTTGGCAGTTAGGACTTGCTGAGAAGAATATGTTGAGCTATGACTTTGATCTCGTGGGATCAGATCCAAGTGATCCAAACACAAATAGTACCAACTTGTTTTCTGACGACACAGATGACAGAAGTCTTAGGCCCACCAACCCGCAGAGAGGAACTTTAAGCCACAAGGAAAATGAGGTGAGAAAGTATTTAAAAGTTCAAATTCCTTTGAAACTGGAGAAAACTGATTTTTACTTTGCACTCATGCTTTTGGTGGTAGTGGCCTGTTGCTACTGCATCTGTTTATGGTGATCTTGGTGCTGATGGTACCGCCACTTCAAGTCCTGCTGCTGCTGCTATAGAGTCTCTGTTGAATCATGTTGGTGAGTCTCACCATGAACCAATGAAAAGAAATAGTAATCCAGGTGATTGCTTCTCTTTGATGTAGCACTTTCTAATAGCTAGTATCTAAAAAGTGTAGCTTTGTTTCCGTGAATTCTAATTTTGCTGTGGGGATTTTTTTCTGCAGCGCAATTTTCTTCAGCACCGAAGAAAAGTAGATTGAAGATTGGAGAGTCCTCTGCTTTCTTCACATATGTCAAGTCTACTGTCCTTGGAACCAACAGTCAGGATCCTCCTCATATCAATGGAAATGGCTCACTTCATCTTCATCCAGGTATGGCGGAGAAGCTTCAAGTTGTGGCCAGTGAGGTGATCAACAACACCAAACAAGCACGCAGAGTTAGAGAGACCGAGAAAAACTATTCTCAAGGAGAGAACATACAGAATGGAGCCACCTATCCTAATTCCCTTGAGCGTTCTCGTACGCTTCCCACATCAATGGAACCTCATGGTAGGAATTACCAAGAAGGAAATATGAATACTGCCCGGGTTGCTATGAACAGAAGTAAGGATTCATCTCAAGTTGATGCTTCCGGGTTCTCTGCACAAAATGCCTATCCATACTACATGCATGGGGTCATGAACCAAGTTATGATGCAATCAGCAGCCATGATGCCTCAGTATGGTCATCAACTTCCTCATTGCCCACCTAATCATCTGAATGGAATGACAGGATTTCCTTATTACCACCACCCAATGAATGCATCGTTACAGCACGGTCAGATGTCTTTACAGAATGGTCATATGTCTTTACAAAATGGTCAGATGTCTATGGGTCATCACTCTTGGTCACCAGTAGGAAATCCGTCTCCTAACGAAGTGAGGGTGAATAAACTTGACAGAAGAGAGGAAGCCCTACTGAAATTTAGACGTAAAAGGAACCAAAGGTGTTTTGATAAGAAGATTAGGTATGTGAATAGGAAGCGCCTTGCTGAGAGAAGACCTCGTGTTAAGGGTCAGTTTGTTAGGAAAATGAACGGCATGAATGTTGATTTAAATGGGCAGCCTGACTCTGCTGACTAT